ATTTTTAACTTGAAAAGAAAAATCTTTCTAAAACATAAACAATATGCTTGTGCTTTATTAGTAAAATGGCTCTTCCATATAACACGCGAAGTAGTGTTTTTTTGTAAAAGGTACATTGCCATCTCATTATCTCATTTAACGTTTTCTCGATTTCGCATTTACTTAATTTTCAGCACTCGAATCAATAAGTCATTGTTACCCAAGTCACACAACTTTCCTCATGCATGTAACACTACACAATCTACATTCTTACGTTTTGCTGCTGTACACCTACAATATTAATATTTATGTAACACCCTAAACCTCCACTTTCTTGTTCTTCACACACACACACACATATATATATATACATATATATATATATATATATATATATATATATATATATATATATATATATATATATATATATATATATATCAATTATGTTAAAAATTAGGTATTCTTGCATTGTTATTTCAGACAAACGTGTATGGTAATTTTTAACAAAATCGCTGTAATTAAAGTGGGTCAGGGGGTCGGCGTGATCGAGTCGGTAAAGCTCATGGTTGCTAAACCGAAAAGTCTCGAGTTCGAACCCTCGGGCAGATGAGGCTCGTTAGCTGGGGATAGCCACTCTTCTAGGAGAGACAACTCCAAAAATTAAACAACTGCTGCCTTGTAGTTTGTTCTTGGTTGGACAAAGGCTATGGAAGCAAATCCAAAAAGATAAGCAGGCTGAAATCGGAGTCAATGGCCTCAATGCTTAATTGTGTTGGAGGCGTGGTCGAGTCGGCAAAAAAAATAATTATTGTCTCGAGTTCAAAGCCACTGGCAGATAAATCTCGATCCCCTTCAGCACTAATAATTAAGACCGAAGAAAGTGGGTCAAAATTGAATTGCAAGACATGCAATAAATCCACAAACAGACATGGTGAACTACATAAAAGGCTTCTAATTGTAGTAAAAAAGTATTATCTATAATTAAAAAGTGTGTATGTTTTATCTAGAAACTACTTACAATGATTTCTGTTGTAGATCCTGTATCTGTTGACATCTTGAGGCGGAGACAATGTTACACTCCAGTAAGGAAACGGATCCGAATAACCACTTGTTTGCGAACAAGGCGTGGTCAATGTGCCGTCCACGCCTTTATCCGAACTCCAAGTACTATACGTACTTGACTGAATAGTAGATTGACGAAGGGCTACGTTCCGACCTATGCCAAAATTTAAAATAATGCTACTTTTTTTTAACTTCATAATAATAAGCTTTTAAATGTATTGGAAATTTTAAAACAAACGGGCTTTCTTTAAATAGAGGTAATGGTCGCTAAAATAAGTAAGAGATTTTCATAACCCAATTCACCTCCACTGACGTAAACAGAACAGAGTGACCTGACACCGCCCCCTGTCACAATAACTTGTTGTACCATGACAGACAGGTCACAGCGAATGTCAAGTGTTTTATTGTTGATATGGCGTGTTTATGTGCGTTAATTGCTAACACGAAAGTCAAAAGGAAAAAAAAAAAACTTTTCCCTGTTTTAAATCTAAATCCTGATTTTATCATTCCTCATTTTTATTTCTTATCAAATTTGCAGCTAATCGTCTGTACATCTTTCATTTAAAAAAAAAAACCATGTTTTTCTAACTTTGTTAGCTGGAAATCAAGTAGCCTATGTACGGACTCAAACTAATCATAACTTATCCTATTTGAAGATGTTCAGTACTTTCTCCTTAATTTCCCAAAGACTGCACAGTCAGGAGGCTCTAGGACTAGGACTGATGTGCACTAAATTCACGATACAAATGGATTTGTGAAAATATTTTTAAAAATATGCAAGTCAGCGTATGAGTTCTTAGGATCATTAAAAAATTTATTACAGTTTTAGATAGGTGAACATAGCTAAAAACGTAAGTGATTAAATTTTATTTGAACTGAAACTGAGGAAGACATATAACCATGGGTGTTACGGGTCATTTGAATAGGTTAGAATAGTCTCGAACGTAGGGGGGAGTGCGTGTGTGTTGAGTTTACCCTACTGTGTAGTAACCCCGGTGTGTTTATGTCTTGTAATCCCAAGGTCGAATGCGGGTATAAAAGGGCGAGTGAACGAGTGTGGGGGGGGGGGGGGGCAGTCAGCGGTTAGTTAGTAGCGGCTAGGACGAGGGCTGCTCTGTTATGTGTAAAGAATTGAGACCGAATAAAAGTATTGAAGTAAACACGAATCGTCTCTTGAGTTGAAACTAACCCGAACGTAACAACGGGCATTTAAAAATCTTTAAACGAGGCCTACCAACAAAGAGTTCTCATGTTGTTTTTTATTAATGGGAATCATATTGAAAACAATAAATTTATTTAAAAAATTCACATATTTTCTTGGCTAACGAGAATTGTAATTTTAAGTGAGACAACGCGAGACTTACAATGCTCTCACGAAAACTACTTATTCGTCATATTTCGGTCCACTCCTAAGATTTTAATGCTTTAACTAAAAAAAATTTTCTCAATTGCACCTTTGCTATCGGCCTTTGCTATCGGCTTTTGCTATTGGCGCAATGTGCAGTTCTCAATTTTGGGATAAAATTACACTTTTAGTTATTGCTGTCTAAAATATCCTCCATCAGTTTTTGTCACCGCGTGTTTCTTGGACTTCTGCGTGAAATGACAAAAATTGTATTTGAATAGGCCCTAAATAGTAATTAGGCGGTACGTTTTTTAAAAAATAACGAATCTATGTATCTTTTAATACAAGATTGTCAATGGGTTTAATTTCTGCATATACGAAAAGCCAAAAAATAAAAATTCTTTTTGAAGAGATGCCTGGAAGAAACTCTAGTCGAGTAGTCGAGTAAATCGTAAATTAGATGATTTCAATTCAGTAAGGAATACACTACAAAGAAAGGTAGGCTTTCTCTAGTTGAAAAATCTTTAGTTTTTTAGGAATCTATATTACCACTCTAAAAGTGTTAATATATTATTATAATATTAAATCGGATGGAATTTATAACTAACCGTTAACTTTATTTTTTTTTCAAATTAGAATTTGTTATATTTAATCAATAATTATGGCAACGTCTAAAACAGTTACCTGTGTTTGATTTTTTGAAAGGTGTCCCTTTATTTAGGGGATCCAAAATTTTAACATTGACTTTGAGATTCTCGCTAATAAAAAAAAAGTGTCATCGAAATTGAACGGAAGTATGTTGTAATAACACTATTGCTTTTAGACTTACAAACAAAACATACAGTTAAGTGTTCAATAGGTAAAATATATTGTTTTCAAAAATTTACATAGCGAATATAAAAGATTTTAATATAATTCTAAGTAATCAAATTTAGAGCGTTTTATTGTGAATTTTAAGCTTGTTTTAGTTACACTTGGTTAATTTAGCTATTTTTGTGAAAGTTATTTCCCTTGAATAAAATTTTGGTATTTGGATTTTCAAATGGGAGATAATTCGTTGCTTAACTTTATATTCATTTCAAATTCCTGCACCTTAGGTTGACCGCTTACATATAAATACAACTTTATGTTATTATTGTAAAAAAATATATAGAGCTTGAGTTCTAAACAAAATAGTTTAGTAGGTTTTTTAGCATTATCAAGTTAAAAAACAAATACATCAGTAGCCGTTATAGATTGCAATACTTAATGTTAGTAAACATACAGTGGTAAATTAAACATCTAATTAATTGTCTTTTCATATTTTTCACCCTCTCCTAAAGGATTCAAGTACAACAATTTTAGGCTGGAATCTATATTATTTATAACCTTTTATTTTTCAAAAAACAAAAAATCGTTACATGATCACATAATAATAACATTTTACAATTATAACTAAAGACAGCCAAGCTTAAAATAGGTAAGTTCCGTTTTACTGCCAGAAACAGCAGCCTAGATATAGGGCTGGCGCTACCTATAAGGCGAACTAGGCGGCCGCCTAGGGCGCTATCCATAGAGGGGCGCAAAAATGTGTAATCACGATTAGTAAAAAGTACATAATAATTAATATTTTTGATTACATTATATAAACTTTAGACAGGATAATATACAAAGGCGTAACGATCTATTTAGGTGCCCAGGACGAACAATCAATTTTGCGCCCATCTTTAAATTAGGCCTATATAGTTATTCGCGTTGGGGAAAATACGTCCCCAACCGCCCTCACTAAGAAAGGTCGGAACGCTTTTTACCAGTCACTTTGCCTTTTTTTTATTTTGGTGTCACACAATTAGTATAGAAAACAATTAAATAAGTCCGTAATGCCAAGTAGCAGTAAAAATTCTTAATTTCGACTGTGTATAATTCAGTAATGAGCTTTTTATATTTTAATATCTCGTTTGGCACACCCCTTTGGGGCGGCGCCTGTGCAATTTTGATTTTTAAATAGGGCTAAGTCTTGATTTCGCTCACTTTTAATTAAATATTTTGTTAGCTAGGGAGATATTTAGATTTTCAAAGTAAATTAATTGTTGGCACCACAAGATCCTTAACAGAATTTTAAAATAATATTCTACTACATACGCACACGCACAAACACACACACACACACACACACACACATATATATATATATACATATATATATATATATATATATATATATATATATATATATATATATATATATATATGTATATATATATGTATATATATATATATATATATATATATATATATATATATATATATATATATATATATATATATATATATATATATATATATATATATATATATAATATGGGGGGGGGGGGTCGAAACAGATGTGCTGGGGGGGGTGCGTTTTCATACGTTTTACCTAGGGCGCTAAATAACCTGGCGCCGGCACTGCTTAGATAACAAATTATACGAAAAGATTAAAGTACGAAATACTTATGGTGTTTTAGAAAGCTAATATATAAGAGTTTTACAGTATAATTCCTTGTTATGGTAGGTATCGTACTGTAGCCCTTTGTGAAGTAACTTCCTAGTTGATATCTTATCGCGATGTTTGGTCCAATAATATCACGCAGTGGTTTTTGTTTTTAATTTTTCAGCATTGTACTTTAGGCCATTAAAGTTATACATGATGTGTTAAAATAAAAAGTAGATCTATGTGTAAATCCTTTTTCGATTGCTTTGAACAATGAAACAGAAATGAGAAACAGAATTATAACAGTAACGTTGTGTTGTTGTTTGTGGGTGTTGTCAATTCAAGGTAATTTCAACCTTAGATAATACTTTAAATATTGTACATTGTGCGCATGGGTAAACAATTCATAACGTTTAGGAAAGTTTGAAAAAAATGTAATACAATTAAATTTAAATTATTTCAAGGAAAAATTATTTATTTATTTATTTGAAATAAATTCTTTTGGAATAAGGTCTTTTAAAAATCTGTTAGTGTTCATTCTTCAGTTTAAAAAATTATTTATGAAACTTGTTGTAGACAAGCATTTCGTTCTCGCAGATCTTGGTTAAATTCTACGTTACAATGCAGCTGCCCATTCGCCTTGAACTTTAAAAAAAAAATGTTTTAATCGGTTATTAGAATTATCACTTAACACAAATCACATAGTTAAAATAAATCTATGACTTTTAAAAAAAAATATTTTTTATTGTGTGATTTTGAAATAAGAGAGGCCATACTTAAAGGCTTGGGTGAAATATTTCAATGTATTTTTAAATACCAGGTGTAAAATGGTTTGGACCAAATTCCCAATACATGTGTCACTGTGAGGGTGACCAGTGTGACGTCAGTGGTCAATGTGTCAACGGATCCAAGTGTGCTCGTGGCTGGTTTGGTATCAAGTGTCAGTATGGTAAGGTCAATGGTAATTATGGGATGGCTGAGATAAATATAGAACGGTAAGGTCAATGGTAAATATGGGATGGCTGAGATAAATATAGAATGGTAAGGTCACTGATTATCATGGGATGGCTGAACTTAATGTAGAATGATAAGGTCACTAACAATTATGGGATGGTTGAGCTAATTGTAGAATGGTAAGGTCGATGATAATTATTAATGTCTGAATTAAATGTAGTATGTTGAGGTCGATGATAATTATTAATGTCTGAACTTAATGTAGATTGTAGAATGTTAAGGTGGATGATAATTATTAATGTCTGAACTTAATGTAGAATGTTAAGGTCGATGATAATTATTAATGCCTGAACGTAATGTAGAATGGTTGTGTATTGCGTTCAGGTAATTATTTCGATATAATTTCTTGCTAATAGAAAAATATATCGGCATCAGCAGCTTCATCGATTTAATTTAATACATCAGTTTTTTTGGAATTGCGTGTCTTTCTAATCTTTTTATACGGATGCTATTTCTGAACTAAAATTTAACATAACTGTTGCGACAGGTTAGGGGTATTTATTAGTGCGGAAAGTGATGTGTATTGAAGTTAAAAGCTAAAGATTAGTGGGACATATAACTACAGGAAAAGGTTAGAGGAGTCTTCAATGGCAGTTATAGTGTTATCGTAAAGTTATAGCGGGTTTATTGTTATCATCAAGTCAACGTTTAGTTAGTCATCGTCTGGTATTGTCAAAGCAACAGGTAAGCGCACGATCTTCTTCTTTTTCTTCTTCTTTTTCTTTGTTCTTAATTTAGTGTTGGTACACGTGTCAACTGGTTACGCGCCATTGAGGCCATTGACTCCGATTTTAGCCTGCTTTTCTTTTTGGATTTGCTTCCATAGCTTTTGTCCAACCAAGAACAAACCACAATGCAGCAGTTGTTTGATTTTAGGAACCTCATCAGCCCGAGAGTGTATGATCAAGTCTTGATTTTGAGTCATTGAATTGATGTTAACTGTCTATGGCCTTAACGTTAAAATAGCAATCCACGACTATCGCTTTAGCTCACGCACAACATAGAGTGAGCAGCAGGTCTCAATTTTATTTATAGAGTTGGGTTAAAAATTGGAGGTGGTTTCAACTTGCAGGTGACATCTGAAGATGTTGTGATGCCATGGATACACTACAGGCAACAATGTGAAGGTTGAATGTGAAGCCATACTGGTCAAAGTCGCTGTGGTTCTACTCCCTCGCCTCACACTGTAGTTCTAGGATAGACAATGAACTTCTGGGCCAATGTAAACCACATTTTTTCTCACTGAAGTGTACGATTAACTGGGCGACTGCGACTTTGCAGATGGTCAACGGCAAAATATTTTTTTAAGTGTTGTAACGATATTATTTTAACAACACATGCAAATAAAAATAAATGTTCTATTTCCCAGTTGACTTGGCCTCAGGTTTATCTGACGTACTCACAGACGGCGATGACAGCACGTGCACGTCAGACACGGACATTGCCATCGTGGACTTGCGGGAAAAGTTCCCGTTTACCTGGCTCAGACTGGTCGTCATTGACCCAGGTGTGGTGGACTAATAGAACAAATGCTTTCATTCTTCTTTTATATATTCTGTGTTTAACAATGTCTGTACAGTATCTTATTGGGTTTGTTTTTTTAAAAGTATCTGTCTAAAAGAATTAGGTTTTATTTTGAACAAGCGTAACACCGGGACAGTTTGAATTTTCTGATTTTTACAGAAGCATCAAAACAGCTGAAAGTTTCTTTTCATGACTATCAAAATCATGGGACGCCGTCTGTGATACAGTGTAGCGGCATGAAATTATCCTACATCAACAATAAAACACTTGACATTCGCTGTGACCTGTCTGTCACGGTAAACCAAGTCATCGTGTCTGGGAGTGGTGTTAAGTCACTCTGTTCTATTTACATCAGTGGTGGTGAGTTGTTGTTTGTAGCCTATATATTCAAGTGTATAAAAATGCTTGTTTCAGAATCACATGTAAATATGCTACTATAATATGCCTATAATAAATGTAGTACGAAAATAGTTTGTTTCGGAAAAAAAATTTGTTATATTGATATTTATAATCACAACTTAGTGATATATCAGAAGAAGTCGACCTCACTAGTGGAGAATGAAATGCAATATAAAAAAATGTTCACGTCATGGGGGCTTAAATATAGGTTGGGGTAGGGGGTATTGTATGGAGGGGTTCGCGCAGCCATCCTGGCAAATCCAATATAGAAAAGTATTAAATCAATACTATTAAAATAGCTTTAAGTAAAGAATTGTAATTTAATAAGCCACATAGATTTTAATGACTTTGATTAAGATGATGATCTCACAAGAGAAATTATGCGGCTAATAACGTTAATGTAAGTTTATAACTCTACAAATGATAACAAGACTGTACAATTCCTACAGTTAGCACTTGTCTTTGGCCATTTCTATCTGTGTTCAGTATTGAAATAGTTTTAGTAAGTAAACTGGGAAATTATTTTCGCTTACGATGGGTTTTTTATGTTTGATCTGGCCAGTAAACCATACATTCGAAGGACAAAAAAGTATGACTTTTCACATTTAAATTGTAGGTCGAAATGTAGCTCTGCATCAAGCTACAACACAATCAAGTACTTACGTGGTAGGTTCAAGTTACGGCGTAGACGGCATCTACAGCATGCCTTGTACACACACAGTGCATACAACGGATCTGACGCCTAGCTGGAATGTAACGTTGTCGCCACCTCAAGATGTTAACCGGTACAGGATCTACAACAGATATGAATGTAAGTCGTCACTAAATATTGATGCACAATTTGTTTTTCTAGATCCTCTTTTCTTTGCACTTTATTACTTATATATATATATATATATATATATATATATATATATATATATATATATATATATATATATATATATATATATATATATATATATATATATACTACATGTATACCCGCGCTCAGCCGCGGTGAATCTTTTTTTAATGTACGAACTCGGGAACAGAACAACAAAAGAAAACGAAACGTAAACACAAACAAAACAAAAAACGCAAACACAAAAGAAACCAAAGGAAAACACAAAAGCAAACACAAACACAATGCAAACTCAAACACGAACGCAAACACACAAAAATTCAAACACAAACATAAATGCAAACACAAACGCAAACACAAACGCGAAACACAAACATTTTAATTAATTAATTGTTTTCAACCCTACTGTTATTCAAAGGTATCAATTTTTCTAGGAAGCTAAGCGAAAATATTACTTGACATTAAAAACCTGTATACGCTCTTGGTGTGGACAGATTATAAGATCACGCGTCTAAAAATACATGTTTATTTCAATTAAACGTTAACATGTCTATCCACAGCCTCTACTCTGACAGCTAGTGGAATATGTTGCCCAGAAAGGCTACAGAAATTTAAGCTCCAGTCCTACTCGTCCAGTGGACGGACTTTGTTTACTTACCAAGAACCAGGAACTATTGAGATTATTTACAACATCAGCACAGCTACACTGCAAGAGGGTGTCTCTAAAGTGCAGATTAGTACAACAATTAGAACTCTAAACTTTGGACCTATTCTGACTTTGTGTGAAGTTGAAATATATGGCGGTAAGTTTTGTCAAACTTTTGTAAATATGTAAAAGAAATCCGTTTTTTATAGTATATAAAATAAAATGTCTTTTCTAACAAAAAAAAAGTTGCTTAATGTTGCAATCTAGTATATTTTGGTGTCATCTGAACCCTTATTGTTAAATATACAGGTAATTTTGGGAGCTCAAAGCCGTTTTTTTAAATAAAAGGGATTAGGATTACAAGAAGCTGAGTCTGTGTTGTAAGCTGCAAACTAGACATTACCAATGTTCTCGGTGTACACTAGACTATCAGTTATTCTTGAATAACCGTGTGTTTAGGGGTCATCCATAAATGACGTCACGTTAGTTTGCAGATTTTTATCTCTCCCCTTCCCTTCCCACTGTTACACATTTTCACAAAAAGCCAGACCCCACAATCATAATGACGTCACGCCTCGGACATCATGGTTTTGTCTTTTAAAAACACCGATTTCAGTTGAGCATGGGTCTGACCACACTATCCATTCATATGCTGAGGTCACAGAAACAGGTGTACTTTACTTCGCCTGCCCCGTGTTACCTTAGTCCCGATAGGCAACTTTATCATTCACATCTAAAAAAAAATTAACATTGACATGATGTGTCTCGAGCCCGTACCACCTCATGGTAACTGTTACACTATAATCTCGGCCACCTAGGCACATACAATAAAGTGCAAATTTATTGGTTTAATTTACTTAGCATCTATATGTATAAAGCAAAGTGGTCGGTGCCCGATATGGCACTACCTGGCGCATCAGGCGCTTCAAATTTGGCAGGAACCTGCCTTGGGGCGATAGAACAGGGGGGGGGGGTGGAGGGCGGTGCCGGTTGGCCGCAACGTCTACGGAGAGGGGGTAAAAACTGACCTCGACTCACCGGCGCCTTATATAAGCTATATTACGAAAAAAAACTTCTGCCGAACGACCCCCCCCCCCCTTGATATTTTGTTAGGTGGTAGGAGAACGCCTAGGTGTGTCAGAAAAAAATCTCGTTATATCCGGGAAAAATCTAGAAATGGGTCAAAACTGACTAGTGGTATTTTCCTACATAATCTTTGTATTTTATGGGAAAAAGATAGGGTAATTTCAACACAAATTTTAGGCTACTTAACCTCTGTACATCTGGCTAATGTTTGTCATGCACTTCTATAGATGATTAGGCCGTATGGATAAACTGTTGATTAGACTCAAAGCCCTCGACGAGGGCTAAAAAATGACCGCTAGTGAAATTCTCATTATATGAGATATATATAAATAAATTGACAATAGATCCCCCTAATATTGTATGAGGTCTTAGACCGACCCTGGAGGGTAACAAAAAAACCATATTCCCGTTGGAAAAATACCTTAGGATCGTTAGATTTGTTCAGATGCTATATCTAATATACAAGCCTTCAGTACCCGTTACACGTGAATTATAGGCCTATATATTTTTTTAATGTGAAACATATTTGGAAATACTAAGTTATAAAATAGTAATTGATCAAAATGCAACACTACACGTTGAGAGTTTAGTGACAAAACAAAGAAATAACTAAATAGTTAAAAATGCGACGCATTTAAAATAACATAGACAACCAATACGTATTCGAAAAATTAAAACCAAATTATACACATTATTAGTCAACAGAACACCATATTAAATGCACACACAGATTAAAATACTTAAATGAGTCCGTTAAAAACCTGGCTATTCAATGGTCATTATGTTTTTTAAAAAAAGTAATTTGTATAAGTTTGACTGATAAAATTGTATATATTTCATAGCTTACGTCTTGATAAGTAGATCTATAGATCTAGATCTAAATCAAATTTGAATGAAATAGTTCCTTTCTTTATATTCTAAAATCGGAAGATTCACATATAAAAAAACAATTTGAAAACTGACTAGTGGTATTTCTCTACATAATCTTTGTATTTTATGGGAAAAACATAGGTTAATTTCAACACAAATTTTAGGCTACTTAACCTCTGTACATCTTGCTAATGTTTGTCATGCACTTCTATAGATGACTAGGCCGTATGGATAAACTGTTGATTAGACTCAAAGCCCTCGACGAGGGCTAAAAAATGACCGCTAGTGAAATTCTCATTATATGAGATATATATAAATAAATTGACAATAATCAAATTTGAATGAAATAGTTCCTTTCTTTATATTCTAAAATCGGAAGATTCACATATAAAAAAACAATTTGAAAAAAAAATTCAATAAGATTGTCGTGGTGTGTCTCGAACCCGTACCACCTGCGAGGTATCAAGTATACTATCATCTCATCTATTTAGGCACCTTAAGTAAAATGAAGAAGAAAAGACCTAATTAAAAAAAACATTACTTACACGAATAGGCCTATTCTTTCAAATTACTTTTGTCCCAAATTAGCCAATTCCATAGCTAAACAAACAAAGATTTGTATAAAATAATTAAGGCCTGAAATAGTTTAGTATATAAATTTATTATTGGAATAGATTCTAGAGTAGATATAGAGTCTAAATCTAGAATCTAGATCTTAGCGTCTACGTCTAGTTTTTGCGTAGATCTAGTCTAGATAAAAAATCTCTAGATCTAGAATCCAAATAGATAAAGTAAATTTATATGTTTAGGCCGAGAAAATCGTGTTGGATACATTTCATAGCTTACGTAGGTCTAAATCAAAGATGAATGAAATAGTTCCTTTCTTTATATTCTAAAATCTGAAGATGACGTCATTGGTTTTGTGCTCTTTTCTTAGTGTAAACATTATTGACGTTATTGAAAAATCGCGTACTTGTTACAACTATAAACACTTTTCTGGTTGCATAATTAAAATTGTTTTTCTACATTTGAATATGCCTTTATTTTTTTCTTTAAATAAAATTGTGTTTCTACATTTTCAACAAACGTCCGTATAAAGTTCTCCATATATCTCTGAAGATTCTGATATGATAGCCTGTGAAAATAATTGACGGACAGAGAGAAGTACGCACATGGGCTTTTATATATTAGGATAAACTTAAATTCTGTGTTTGGATTACTAAGAAATATAAGAAGTTAATAGACCCTATTCTTATAGTGCTAATAGTCTAAAGTGCTTATCGTGTAAATTTTTTATTTAAATAAATGAATATCGAAAGTGTTTTAAAACAATTTTCATTTTTACTTTCTCGTATAGAGAAAGTATTGTAATCGTGCAAAATAAAAATCGAGATTTTTACAAATCTCGATTTTTTACACCTCACTAATACGGAAAAACATAATTTTGCAATCTTGTCTGTATGTCTGTGTGTCTGTGTGTGTGTCTGTGTGTAAACACGATAACTTGAGTACCGTTACAGCTAGGTTGATAAAATTTCATAAATAAGTATTTTATCAAAATCGTAGATCCTGATCAATTTTTGAGTGATTTCCAATAACCGGAAATGGTACTTTTTCTACTTTTAATTTTTTAAAAGACTATAAATTGAGTACTATTTCAGATAGATAAATGAAATTTTACATGTAAGTAAAAGATCTAATTCTCTACCATCTGTCAAATTTTGAGTAATTTCCGTTGACCGAAAGTACTAATTTACGCTATTTCCGATTTCTCAAAAATCGCATGTAAATTTATAAAGTATTAATAATCTTTTTTCTACTAGATTTTATTCTATTTTTAAAAGTTTAATTAAACCAAAATCATGTCTATATTGCCATCCCACGTAGTTTTACATTAGAATATTCGAGAAAGTTTAGGGGAGATCACTCCCGGTTTATTTATAATGCGTTAAACTTCTGAATGGGCAACATGGTCTTCCTTGGGAGCCGCCTTATTTTATTGTTAATTATGAAAAATAAGTAAATGAATCAAGTCTTAGTGACTTCACTATAAAGTAATTGTTCTGAACTTTTATAATTAAAGTAGTGTTTCTACAAACACACAAAATATACAAATTTCTCGCTTTTAGTAGTATATAGATAAATAGATAGATTTAGCTGACATCGTGTTGCAACAAAATGTGTAACAACATGATGCGGATAACTGAACGTATGGTAAGAGGTTTTTAAAATTAGTTTGTACGGTAAATTGCTAAACATATTTTTAAAAACCATGTAGACTATATACAAAATTTCATTTCGCTAAATGTAGCTCAAAAATGATGGTTTATATACAGTTACTGTTAGATATTGTTATAATATATAATACATTAAATATTTTCTCCTGTATAACAATATTAAATTATGTTGAATTCCGCAGTTGTTTTAAAAACGTTTTAATGATTAATTCAGAAAACCAGTGTAAATTAAAATAATCGATTTACCAGAATTTAAGTGTATAGTAGTGATGATGTGTAATTTAAATTTCAGAATCAAGTAAAAGTATATATATATATATATATATATATATATATATATATATATATATATATATATATATATATATATATATATATATATATACAAGTATATTATATTTAAATTATTAATTCCCTTTCATAGCTGTCACATTTAAATAACAAATAAGAGAAGCAATTTCTTTTTAATTTGCTGGGTACAAAATTATTTAAATGAGATTTATGGGCACTAGACTATTTAAAAGGGAGCAATAAGTCTAGTAATGGGTGTGATTTGAACGTTTTTGCCTATCTTTCACACTACATGTCCTGTAGTAGTTTCTTGGTTTTTCCTCTACGCAACGGCGCTTGTTATTTACTGAAGTACAATCACTACTGTAGTAGATTTGACGTTTAAAACCGTTCAGTATAAATTTTAAAAGAATGTTTGTTTTATTCAATGTTCTCTTTCTTTATTTTTGTGTGTAGTCAATGAATGCTGAAAATGTTTATAGTTTACATTCTCGACGCAGTTACCTTTAAAATGTGAAATAAAGCTGTCAGGCAGGTCAGTTGTCAACACCTTAATATTACATTTCAGAGAATCTGGTCATTTCCCTTTAAATAGGTAACAATCAGCTGCCAAACTGGTCAATTTTTAATCCCTTAATAAGAAATCTCTGAATCTGGTATTTTTCCAGGTGCCTACAGCACCAGGGCTTTTACCTTATCAAATATCAAGTTTGTACCAGTTCTGCATGTGATCGATCTAAATCAAGAACTTAAAAAATGTATAGATTATGAAAGGCTGCGGTCAGTCTAGATCAGTTTTCGGTTAGTGATATAGCGATAATTTTCCTGCTAGAATTAGAGTGAAACTCAAACAATGGCAAGAGCAGTCGCTCTGCTCCATATCTGCAAACATCCGATCTAATCAGATGAATTCATAATCCACTTTGCTTTTATAAATAGAAAATAACAAAACTAAATTTTTCCTAATGTTTTTTTCCATACAAGAATGTCCTGTTGGGACATGGGGACTAGCATGTGAGAACAACTGTAGCAGAAACTGCTACGAGACATCTTGTCACAGAGAAACTGGTGAATGTGACAACGGCTGTCAGGGATTCGAGGATCCACCGGAGTGTACAAATGGTAGGTGCAATGTTTTCAATTTGTGTGGAAACAAACTATGTAAATAATACAGTCTATACACAAAGCATAGATAAAGGATATATATATATATATATATATATATATATATATATATATATATATATATATATATATATATATATATATATATATATATATATATATATATGTGTGTGTGTGTGGGGGGGGGGTGTGTGTGTGTGTGTGTATTCGTGTAAATGTTTACGTGCGTGTCTTTGTACGTCTGAGTGTGTTTATGGTATGGTTTACAAATACTAAACAACTATCTAAACCTCCCAACTCATAGCCTGTAGTGACGGAAATCACGGACACAATTGTCAAGAGATGTGTCCAGCGCGGTGTCAAGAGGTCAAATGTCAAACTGACACAGGCTACTGCTACAGCTGCAAGCCTGGATATCGTGGTGACAGATGCGAACAGAGTAAGTGTTGGATTAGGACATTTAGAGACCACTGTGTAGCTAATGGCGGTGTTGGTCTCGTACGATCCTCCAATGTAGGCATATTTAGAACGAAAAAGAAGTAAAAAGTAAATTAAAAATTCCCCATTCGGAAGTGGCAGTCAGTGAGAAAGATGAAATAGAGTTGAACTGTTTATGTGTATGCAGCATGAAAGGATGGTGTGATTAGTTCTATGCCCAGTACCATATATATTTTCTAAAGCGAATCAGTGGACTCACGGAAGTCCTTCTGACACAAGCCTGGGATCCGAACTCTAGGCTTCCGGGTTAACAGTCGTGCGCTCTGCCGCCCGACAAGACCGTCAGGTAGTGTGATAGTAAATATAATGAAGTGATAACAAGTTGGTTTTTTTTTAATTTACCATGAGCAACAATTACACAGAATGTATAAATAATGGGTGTCTAACAAATGAGCGATGATCTTAACAAGAGAGCGTTGCTCTGTATGACTAATGAATATCTAACTATAGAGCCTTGCTCTGTGTGACTAATGAATGTCTAACAAGAGAGTGTTGATCTGTGTGCCCATCAGTCATAGAGATGAACGCTCACATTTGAACATTGATCTGTATCTAGAATGCACCAACGGCTACTGGGGCGTCGACTGCAACCAGAAATGCAGCAGCCATTGTGCTGGCACAACGTGTAATGGACAGTCCAGTCACTGTGATCATGGATGTCAGGCGGGGTACCAGCTGCTCAACTGTACTCAAGGTGAATCCATGTATTTAAACGTAGAACGTGTTGGTTTAAAATTTAACTCTTTTTTTGGTAAACAGACTTTTTTTCAAACACGACCAGATGCTTAGGTATTTAACAGCTTATTTCTCTTTTCTGTTTTCATGACTTTTTTATTTTCATTTTTTTTTTCACAAACTTTTAAATTTGTTTAGCCTCAAGGATCTTTTGTTTTTGCAATAAGAGATTCATTTTTGTGTTAAACACATAGTTTAAATTTTAATTGCATTACTTTTCGAAAGAGTTCCTTTCTGGGGAAAAAAACGTATTAATAACAAACTTTTATGTAATAATACATATAAAATAAATATAAATAATACACAGAAAATAATAATACATAGAAAATAAATTATATACTACTATTTGAATAACTATAAAGAAAAGCATGGGTTACTTTAGTATCTATTGAATACCTTTACTAATATTGTAATATTTAGGAAGGGACCCACGCTTTTCTTTATAGTTATTAAAATAGTAGTGTATAATTTTTTTCTACTTTTTAGTGCATTATTACATAAAAGCTTGTTATTAAAACGTTTTTTTATTAATTTTTAGTACTTCACATGTTTTATTTACTCTAGAGTTGCATGACTAAAAACCATTGCGCACCTATTGAACGTGATGACGCGTGTCTAATAACGCGGAATAGTTTGATGAGACAGCCTACTAATTTGGACAAAATTTTAATTAATTCATAAAAAATTAACCAGGCAACCAATTATGTCAATTTAATGTCATGTTGCATTGTCTTCATGTCTTGACCCACGTACCAACTACGAACCGTATCTGTTTAGAAGTGCCTGCAATTTCGCTCGGGCGTTTCGATTTAGACAGACTGACGACAGACTGACGACAGACTGACGACAGACTGACGACAGACTGACGACACACTGACGACAGACTGACGACAGACTGACGACACACTGACGGCAGACTGACGACAGACTGACCAGGAAGTGAGTTAAATAAAAGCTTGTAAAAAGAATAAATTGATCTTTATAATCATTTTTCATCATTTAATTTTAAAACAACCTGTAAGTTTAATAGACGGCTATAGCACGTGCGCAATGTATTTTTAAATTTTATTTAAAAATATATATGTATATATTATATATATATATATATATATATATATATATATATATATATATATATATATATATATATATATATATATATGTATATATATATATAAAGTACGTCCATATAGTACATGCTTTTATTTTTGTTAAAAAACGAAAGAAATGTTTAAATAAAACAGTTTGTGAGAAAGGACACCACGGCATCAACTGCACACAGACCTGCTCACCATTTTGTCTAGACCGTGACTGTGATCCCGTCACGGGTGACTGCATCCGTTGTAAACCTGGCTTTCAAGGTCATACTTGCCATGAAGGTACTATATGTCTGACCTATTTGTTCAACTCTTTGGTAACTGTTACTTAGTTTTTGATGTCGGCGTGATAAAGTTCGTGGTTGCTAAAGTGAGTTCCAACCTACGGGCAGATGATGCTCAATAGCTCGGTGAGAACAACGCGCAAGGAGAGACAACTACAAAATCAAACAACTACCGCATTTTAGCTTGTTCTTGTTTGGACAAAGCCTATGAAAGCGAATTCATAAAGAGAAGCAGATTGAATACGGAGTCAAAGGCCTATATTGCACATAATAAGTTGACATATAATACTTAATAGTGAAGGAGGCAATCCCTTCAAACATTACAATTTAGAACGAAGAAGAAAATCAGTCCATCCCTCTGACCCACTTAGCTACGACACAGATTTAGCGAGGGGGGGGGGAGTAATCCGGGTACTGGAAGAAGAAGAAATAAGACATTTTTTAAATGTTTATTTTCGTTCAAATTTGATGTGTGAGTCTCTATCTGCCCCCAGCGTGTGGACCCACTTACTACGGCATGGGCTGTACACAGAGGTGCCCTGACCACTGCGCCGAACAGCTGTGTTACCCTGAGAACGGACATTGTATCGTGTGTGAGGACGGATGGACCGGTGACCAATGCCAGTTCAGTACATCCAACGGTTTAGATGTCGTCATTGGTTAACCTGTACGTGTATATCTACAAATACAATAAAATAGAACTTTGTATAAGAAAGGGCTTTCTGTTGTTTATGTTTGAACAGAGTACGTGTGATTAAATAATAAAAACGAATCACAAATTTTCGATAAACACGAATGAGTGAACTACTGGAATTATATAAAGAACAAGATGGTAAACTAGAATGGTGCAGGATAACTGGCTATGTTCAAGGCTCCAGGTTTGTAACCCTTTTTAAAATATCTGTTAGCTTTACAGTTAATTTATATACAACAGATCACGCCATGTGACTTAAAGATGTATTTAAAATAGAACACGTCATGTGACTTAAAGATGTATTTAAAATAGAACACGTCATGTGACTTAAAGATATATTTAAAATAGAACACGTCATGTGACAGTGTAAAAACTACGAAAACAAGTTAAGAAACACAACTTAATCTGCTGTGTAAATATATGTTCTTAGAATAACGCTCGATTATTATAATATTTAATCATAACTAGTTATAAATTCATTACTTGATATGAACATATTTTTAACTTGAAGAGAAAAATCTTTCTAAAACATAAAAAATATGCTTGTGCTTTATTAGTAAAATGGCTCTTCCATGTAACACGCTAAGTAGTGTTGTTGTTTTTTTTTTGTAAGAGGTACATTGCCATTTTCATCTCATTTCACGTTTTCTCAATTTCGCATTTTGCTTAATTTTCAGCATTCAAATCAATAAGTCTTTGCAACCCAAGTCACGCAACTTTCCTCATGCATGTAGCATTACACAATCTACATTCTTACGTTTTGCGGCTGTAGGCTACATCTTTAATATTAATATTTATGTAACACCCTAAACCTTCACTTTCTTATTGTACACAGTTGTACGTAAAACGTGTATTTAAAAGTACATAGAGTAAAACGCAACAATGTATATATAGGTATTAGAAACTTTAATCTGTAATCAGATTGGATTTAACTGGAGTGATAAATTATAGTGGCTTGAAAAGGTGTTAATGTTTACATCTTTTCGTTGTTTCCATAGCAACAGTAAACGTTAGTATTTGTTTTATACTATTTTTGACTACTATTGTCACATGGATTCAATAAAGACAAGGGAAATAATTTTCCTTGAAAGGTGGTATTTAGACTTAAATTATTTTTATGCAATGACTTTGTTTATTTGCAGAAAAAATATATTTATATACATTATTTGTATCAATGAAATAATAATATACGATGTGTATAGTCCACGAATTTTCGACAATCACAAAGATGACTATCTGACACAAAGATCAATTTTTATTGAATGGTTATATATGCACAAGTTAGCCAATGAGTCTACTTGAATATGTTGGATGTTTTGATCTCACATCGATCACCGGTCCAGCCCTCCTCACACCCGAGGCAGTCTCCATTCACTTGGTAGCACAGCTGACGAGCGCAGTGGTCAGGGCACTTCCGGTCACAGCCCAGGCCGTAATACGTGGACCCACAAGCTGAGGGGGTGACAGAGACTAAGGTCACACAGGGCATTTCAACAAAAGAAACCAAATTTACAAATTTAAAGTATGCTGGAAAGTGCGGAACAGACATGTTAGACTATTGGTACCTTGAAAGCAGGAACGACCTTGAAAGCCGGGCGCACAACGAAGGCAGTCACCCGTGACGGGATCACAGTCACGGTTCAGACAGAAAGGTGAGCAGGTCTTTTTACAGTTGTGGCCATAGTGCCCTTTAGAGCAAACTATTGTAAGTAGAAAGTTTAAACACCTCAGCAGAAGTCTCAATTGTTTTATTTTTAACACGTTTTTAACACGTTTTTCTTAACTCAGCTTCGCGTTTGTTTGTTTGTTTGGATGTTTGTTGTTAAAATTGACATCGAAAATTAGCCCATTTCTGATCGCTCTACAGATCTGAAATTTGGCATGCAGGCTACTTTCGCCTAACAATTTCAGATGCAATCATAAAAACTAGCAATTAGAGACCGTAATTAGCTTAATTTAATTACGCCCCAAGGACCATAAAATTGAGGACATGATTTCTAAAGATACCGACAAGACTGGAGGCCTATTGACACAGTTACTTCGGCCCCAATCGATGTGAGCGCGCTGGCCGTGATCGTATAGTGGTTAGTACTTCGCGTTGTGGCCGCGACAACCCAGGTTCGAATCCTGGTCGCTCAAGATTTTTAGTCCGTGTATTTATAAACACTTAGTCAAGTCATACTTAATCAAGTCATTAGATAAAGTAGAAAATAAACTATATAAAAAACTTTTTTAAAAACCACGTTTTTCATGTGTAGCAACGGACTAAAAAGGAGAAAAAAAATACTTAAAAAAAACTTTTTAAAAAACCACGTTTTTCTTGTGGACTAAAAAGTAGAAAATAAATTTTCATACATTTGATGACAAAAAACGTGGGTCGGGCAGATGGGTCGGGAACTTTGATGGTGAACGTACCCACGTTTTTTGTCATCAAATGTATGAAAATTTATTTTCTACTTTTTAGTCCACAAGAAAAACGTGGTTTTTTAAAAAGTTTTTTTTAAGTATTTTTTTTTTATTAACTCAGCTTCGCGTTTGTGTGTTTGTTGTTAAAATTGACATCGAAAATTAGCCCACTTCTGATTGTTCTATAGTTCTGAAATTTGGCATGCAGGCTACTTTCGCCTAACAATTTCAGATGCAATCATAAAAACTAGCAATTAGAGACCGTAATTAGCTTAATTTAATTACGCCCAAAGGACCATAAAATTGAGGACATGATTTCTAAAGATACCGACAAGACTGGAGGCTTATTGACACAGTTACTTCGACTTTCACACACTTCACACACTACACGTAAAAAAATAGTCCCTAATTCACAGATAACAAACAACACGCAACGAAACATACGACAGAATTATACAAAAAGACACTAAATATAAACAGTGATCACAATCTAAACAAAATGTATGCACACTAGCTGTAAAAAGGGACATAAACAGTCACACAGTGGCGCCATAATACGGGACTACACAACTAAAAAGTACAAACAGTTTACGACATGAAACGAAACGATACATTGGCCTTCAAAGTTACATATAAATAATAATTACAACACTCCAGCCGCTCACACACACACACACACACACACACATATATATATATATATATATATATATATATATATATATATATATATATATATATATATATATATATATATATATATTTATATATATATATATATATATATATATATATATATATATATATATATATATATATATATATATATATAAACTTGTAAAAATGCCAACAAACCATTTTTACACTTCGGTGGTTCAAGGAATCCCTGACAGCCGTTGTCACATTCACCAGTTTCTCTGTGACAAGATGTCTCGTAGCAGTTTCTGTCACAGCGGTTCTCACATGTTAGGCCCCATGTCCCAAGAGGACATTCTTGTGCAAAAAAAAAAGTTGGTGAAACTTTATGCGTATTTTATGATAAGCCGTCAGCAAGCAATTAATTTAGGCTGATTAACTATAAATTTAAGTCAGTATAATTATTAGAAATATGCTTTGGAAACAGGCACCCATATGCTTATAGAGAAATAAATGAAGAAATAGAAAATTTTTAATAACATTCCCAGAAAACAATAATTGATAAAATTTACCTCCGTATATTTCAACCTCACATAATGTAAGATAAGGTCCGAGTGCATCATTAATGTGTACTTTAGAGACACCCTCTTGCCGTGTAGCTGTATTGATATTGTAAATAACTTTAACAGTTCCCGGTTCTTTGTAAGTAAACAAAGTCCGTCCACTGGACGAGTAAGACTGGAGTTTAAATCTCTGTAGCCTTTCTGGGCAACATATTCTACTTGCAGTTTCCGTAGAGGCTATAGATTCAAATTAAAGTTTCTTTGATATTCTTCAGTCGGAGATTTCACTAACACTATTACTATTTATTTATTCTTCGACATGCGAAAAAAATTCATGCTATCAATATGCTGTTTTAAACACACCAGGGGGACATTTTATAATGTGGGAAAAGCTTAGTTTTAAAACTTATTTTAATTTTTCTTTCCTAATAAACGTGTAGGTATGAGAGATTTTGACGAAATCACATTTTGTCAAAAGCACATTAAAACAATCTAGTTCAAAGCAACAAAGCGGTAATACGTTTTACCCTTCATAAATAAATGCTTTGGTTACTGATGAATTCTTAATTAATGTAGTCATTTAATTATGATTCCATTTTTCTCTGTCTTTACTATAAAAATGAATTATATGTTTTATAAACCTTAAAATAATACAATTTTAAGGCACTGATAACGAAAATAAAAATTCATTGAAAATGTTTTAATAACAAGCTTTTATGTAATAATGCACTAAAAAATAGAAAATAAATTATACACTACTATTTAAATAACTATAACACAACAAATTAATTAGGCATCCAATTAAATTAAATTTAATTTCAGTTTAGATTCGATTCAATTTAGACCCACGTGCCAACTTTGAATCGAATCTGTCAGTTAGAAGTGCCCTAAATTTCGCTCGGGCGTTTCGATATGGACAGAATGACGACTGACGACAGAGACAGTAAGTTAAATAAAAGCTTGTAAACATAAATATATAAAACGTACTTTCTATAATAAAAAGCATTAGTCGCTAAAATGTATAAGAGATGTCACGATCGAATAATGCTTTTATTAAGGAAAGCAGATTTTATTTATTTTTAAATTTTCAGTGCATTTGAATGCTTATTATAAGTTGTTTTTTCTTCTCTCGTAATTCTTTTTAAATGTAATCGACTAAAATATTTGCTTTAAAACCCTATCAGTCGATCTAAAAGACTGTTATTTGCCTCTTCTGAACTAACCTACGTGACAAATATTCGCTTGTTTAAGCAAGCTCATCGAGCAACAGCTTAAGATTAATTCTGCTCTCTCTCTTTCTGTTGCTAAATTTTAAAAATATGCAATTACATTTTAATGACTAATTATCTATCAATTATATTAAAATTAGGTAATCTTGCATTGTTATTTCAGACAAACGTGTAT